AAAGAGACTGGGTAGAGGAAAAAGGAAAAAAGATTTAAATGTAGGTTTTCCTTTTTCATAAATTCCCTAAGGCATTTTCTTTAAAGAGTTTTAATAAAATAAAGGTGACAGTCTCTTCAAGTTCCTCATTGTATTTTATGCTACCCTTTGAGGTAATGGATCAAAGACATCTGAATTTTATACTTCAAAGTTTCAAGATAAAAATGGGAAAATAAACATAGAACAGGAGAAAAACCAGTAAAAATGAGGGTATTTTGAAGATATTAACTTGTTTTCTTTTGTGTTTGTATGATTATTATTATTTTTTTTAAATTTTATTTAGTGTGTGTGTGTGTGTGTGTGTGTGGCCAGCTCAGCCCACCTGGGGGCGGGGCTGGCTGGCATGTGGTGCTGGGGGATTGAACCGTGGTCCCTGTGCTTTGCTAAGCTTGTTCTAAGTACGTGCTTTAGACCACTGAGCCATCTCACCAGCCCTATTTTTATTTTTTTGGTGGAACTGGAGATTGAACTCAGGCCTGCTTATTCTACTGAGCTGTCTCCCTTGCCCTACTTGCTTTCTTTTGAATGCTACAAGTCCCAAACTATTTTTTTTCCGAAACATAAAATTGAGAAAAATGCCATTATTGAGCTGTGCTCAATACTTCCAGTGACATATGACAGCACAGTTTCCAGCCAGATCATAAATAAAAAGTTGAGGTAATAATAAAAATGATTCTAGGGCTTGCTGGATAGCTCAGCAGACTAAAGCACACGCTTATGCAGATACAGGGATGAGGTTTGTCACCTCTGGAACATGCTGAGACTACAAATGAGACTGGGCATGGTGGCTTATGCCTGTAATCTCAGTGCTTGGGAGGCTGAAAACAGGAGGGTCACTACAAGTCCGATCTGTATAGTGAGTCCCTATGGACCCTGTACTAAAATACATTAAAAAAAAGAAAAAAATTATAATTCTATTTTTCAGCACAAAAAGCCTCTATAAGAAAACAAGGTTGTTGAGTAACTCATGCTAAGTCAGAAAGTTTTCCAAACAGAAGTTACTTAGTGTCCTTGTAGGAATCTTTTTATAATCTCAAAACAGAGCAAAAGCTATTACAGTACATTTAGTAACTAAAACATAATACTATTGGGATCAGGACTTGTGTGATAGAGTTTAAGATACTTTCCAACCCAGATATATCTGTTGGTATGTTATGTTAAGACACTGTGTTTAATATGAAATCAATAGTGACAAATACACAGTGTTACTTTTAAATCTGTAAAACATTACCGGACTATAGTCTCTTACGGAAAGCTTAAGTCATGGATGAATAATAAGAGAGTTGTTTATTGTAGACCAGTAGATCTGGTAGTCACTAGGATCACCTGGAAGGCTTAACAAACAGGGTGTTCAGGCAGAAGATCTGGCCCAGACTAATTAAAAAAAAATAAGGGAGAAAATTAAGAAAAAACCCAGTATTGTATGTTCTGAGTGCACTAGAGGCCATCCTCACATGCTGCCAAGATTAAAAATCCCTGGAAGGTGCTATGCTAATAAGGTGAGGCGCTAGAAATCAGGAAATAAAAGTTTAGAACTTTGTGTCAAATTCTTTTTTTTTATTCCCCCACTGCCCTGTGTCAACTTCTTAGAATTAATCTTCTCTTATGTTTTATAGTCTCTACATGTATAATATAAACATACCACTCCCTTTGATTTTTTTTTTTAATTTTATTTATTTGTGTGTGTGCCAGGGGGCGGGGCTGGCTGGCATGTGGTGCTGAGGGATTGAACTGCGGTCCCTGTGCTTTGCTAAGCTTGTTCTAAGTAGGTGCTTTAGACCACTGAGCCATCTCACCAGCCCACCCCTTGATTTTTTGAGACAGGATTTCACTTTAGCTAAGGCTGGCCTTGACCTTGTGGTGATCCTTTTGCTTCAGCCTCCTTAGTACTGGGATCACAGTGCTTTAGAGAAGGATTTTTTTTTTTTTTTTGGCTGGCTCAGCCTGCCTTAAGGGCAGATCTGGTAAGGCAGGTAGCGGTGGGGTTTGAACTGAGGTATCCTGAGCCTGGCTGCATTTGCATGAGCAGGTGCGTAAATAACCGAGCTAACCAGCAGGCCCCCTCACAGTGCTTTTTATCACTTTCAGAAAGATAATGTGAAGGTAAATGAAATTCTAGAAATGTTAGAAATCTGGGCAAGAAAAACATTTGAGAGATTTTTATTTCAATTTCTAAACTTTCTGTAGAAAAGTACCATCTTGGAAGAAATAAAACTGAAGGTAGGCTGGGGAGATGGCTCAGTGGAATAAACGCTTCCCTGGCAAGCACAAAGGGCCTGAGTTCAATCCCTGGTTCCAGAAAAAACAAAACAAAAAACATATAAAACTGAAGGTAAAGAATATGATGACCAGGCAGATAGGGGTCTAACGCAAGGGCTACATACAACACCTAGGCATCAATGTTGTTCCTTACAACATTCAAATGGGCTCTCCTTTGTATTTACCTTGAATTATTGTTTCATATGTATAAATTTAGTTTTCAATAAAAATTATAATTGTCTAAGAACAACATTATATCCTGTTTTCATATATAAACACGTTATATTTAAATACACAAATTTTTGCTGGATTGACTCTGTGGCATTTGGAAGAAAGGCAAACTTCCATGTTGCGAGCTGTGGTGGATGCACATCTATAATCCCAGCACTTGTGAGGCCAACACTGAGACAGGAGGATTGCTGTGAGTTGAGGGCCAGCTTGAACAACATAACGAGACCCTGTCTCAAAAAGATCAAAAGCTGCAAAAAGCCAATCCCCCCAAACCAAACCAAAAGAACAAAAATTACACTGAGAACCCTCAGTGACATTTATTCTTTTAACAAAAACTTAATCATGTAGTATTTATCCCTTTATGATTGACTTATTTTACTTATCGTAAGGTCCTCAATGTTCAGTCATGTCACTGAACACTATTTCAGTCAAATATTGTTGCATTTCCTTAATTTTAGGCTCAAATAATGTTCCATGGTATGTACACACACTTTCTTTATCCATTCATCCATGGACGAACACTTATTTTTACATCTTGCCTATTGTCAGTAATGAACATGGAGTACAACTGTCTCTTATGGTTCCTGATTTGTATTCTCTGGAATAATAGTTAAACATATTTCGGATTTGTGGACCATACTGTAGTTTCACTTTTATTTATTTATTTATTTTTTGCAGAATCGGGGATTGAACTCAGGCCCTTGCGCTACTCTACTGAGCCATCTTCCCAGCTCCCGTAGTTTTACTTTTAATTTTGGGGGATACTCCATACTGTTCCCTGAACTTCTTGGACCAATTTACATTTCCACTAGTAGTGTGCAAAGGTTTTTCCTTCTATACATCCTCTTCATCATTTGATATCTTTCTTTCTTTGTTCTTTTGATACAGGATCTTGCTGTATAGTTCAGGCTGCACCTGAACTTACTATGTAGCCCAGGCTGGCCTCAAACTTGTGGCAATTCTCCTGGCTCAGCCTCCCAAGTGCTGGGATTACAGATGGATGCCACCACACCTGTCTCACTGTTTTCATAACAGCCATTCTAATAAGTATGAGCTGATTTTGATTTGTTTTCTCTGTTATTGATATTGATTGAGCATGTTTCCATATATCTATTGACAATTTGTAAATATTCTCTGGAGAAAATTCTACTTTAATCTTTTACTCATGCTGAAAAAAACTGGTTATTTGCTGTTGACGTATTAGAATTCCTTATGTGGTTAGGATATTAACTCACCAGATACATGGCTTGCAAGTATTTTCTTCCCTGCTGCAAGATGCCTTTGTATAAAAAGTGAAATTTAACCCAGGACACATTTCTATTTTTGATGTGTAACAGTTCTAACACAAAAGATGTGGGCATCAATATAATACGAAATTCTAATATAACATGAATTGCAATATCCACAACTAACTTGCCATTTAAAAAGCCTAGGCCTGAACTGGGTGTGATGGCACATGCATGTAATCCCAACACTGGAGAGCGAGAGGCCAAGAAAGGAGATGTTTGAGGCCATCCTGGGCTATATATCAAAACCCTGTCTCAAAAAAAAAAAAAAAAAAAAAAAAAAAAAAAAGCCTAGGCCTCTTTAATTATGCAACTTAACATTGTCAGAAACAATTATGTGAATTCCTCTGGTGGTAGGTAGTCCTGACAAGAAGTAAAATCAGAATAATCACCCATTTTCTGAGGCGTGTTTCAATGGAAAAAGATTCATCAATCCCTTCTTTATCCTTACATCCCACTTTTAACCACAACTGGAAGACTACACCTGCTATGAGTGATGGCAATTTAGCCTTCACTCTAAAAAAGAGCTCAGCTGCCTGCTCTGGTAACCTCACAGGGTTGTTATGACAGTAAATGAAAGGCTTTGTAATATATTCTGAAAAGTGGAATAAAGACCTGACTCAAGGGAACATTACAAAATGACTATTTCTAACATGTTAGGTTTGTCAGAGAAGTTTCTCCTCTTCCAAGTTTAAATTGCTGATGGAATACTTTACAACTTGCTTTAGTATACAGGTGCTATGGTTTATTTCTCTGCTATGCCTCTTTCCCTTTACTGATTAAAAATGAGCACACCAGAACCTGAAAATTCCCACCAAGATATTTCACTGTTAGGTTACGTACAGGAAATATAATCTCCCCCAACTCCTACAGAAGCTTCAAATATTAAATTAATGCTCTAAAGATCAAGGCCTACGGAGAATTAGTAGTCCACTTGGGTGAATAAAAGGGGGCTTACCTAATTTTTAGGTATGGGGAGACTTGATTCTTCTTTAGTTTACATATGGAATGTTTAGCTTATATGGATTTTGTTTAAAAATGGTAGAAAAAGACTTCTACTATTTTTCTCTTCTATATTAGAAAATTATTTCAGTTATTTATCAACTTGAGTCCATTAGTCAACTTTAAAATGAGCAACAGACAGACAACAAGAAGCTGAGTATTACATTTCTTGGTCATACTCACCTTAAATTATTTTGCTGGCCAGGTGAAATGACACTGTAGTAAACTGGCATTCCTGCTGTGGGCACAGATCCTTGACTAGACTGACTAGAGAACATAACAGGCTGTTGATAAGTCTGATGGGCTACTCCTTGAGAACCTTGAGGCAGTGAAACCTAAAAGTTGAAAGACAATTTAAAGACATCTAAATCTTAAAGATGTTCATGTCTCCAGCCTCATAAACTTTTTAAGTATGAGTAGTAAAGAAAAGGTAATGCTGTTTTTTTCCTGGTAAATTGCTTGTACCACTACTATGTTATGTATTCGTTAGTCAGTTATTGTTTTTGGCTAGTACTTAGCAATTACACAGCAGGCTATACACATTAGATCTTGAAAACTGTGACTTATGTATTGAACAAAGTTATTTATTTATTTATTTACACCGAGGACTGAGCTTAGGATCTTGTGCTTGTCAGGCAGGTGCTTAAGGCACTGAACTATATATCCTCAGTCTTTATTTGCCTTTTTGAGACAGGGTCTTATTATGCAGTTCAGACTGGCCTTGAGCTCACTCTGTAGCCCAGGCTGGTCTCCAACTCCCAACAATCCTCCTGCCCCAGGCTCCCAAGTGCTGGGATTACAGACATATGCCACCAAGCCCAATCCTAAGAAAATTACTAAAAAATAAAATTCCACACAAGGATGACCATGTGATATTGGAAGAGGCATAGCCTTTATGCCAGGCAGAGTCAAGTAAGACTCAGAAGGGGTGCACTGGAAAACAGAGCCAGTGAGAACTTTGGAGCTTCAGATAGTTGAGATATCAGCTCAATCACTTTCTTTCTTTCTTTCTTTATTTATTTATTTATTTATTTATTTATTTTTGCGGTACCGGGGATTGAATTCAGGATTCTGCACTTGCCAGGAAAGTGCTTATTCTACTGAGCTATCTCCCTGGCTTTGTGAGCTTCATCACTTTATCATCTCTGTGACACTGAGCAAATGACTAAACTACTCTGAGGTCCCTTGGTTCCATATCTGAAAAACTGAAAACACTATCTCCAGGACAGGGAGGAGGTACTGTGATACTGTGCCTGTTGTGGGACAATAATTAAGAGGATCTAGTACAGGAGGAATTGAATGAAAGAACACCTTTCCAGTTTCTTATCTACAAGAAAGTATATGGACATAATGGGTCCTTCAGTTCTCTAACTTCTAAATGGAAATAATATAGGATAAAGACTTTCTAATTCAAAGATTACTATGATATTATAGCTGGATTATCGCGATTTTTACTAAGGTAAACCAACACAAAAACTTACACTGATGATGTTATCTATAAAGATGATAACAAGGATTAACATTACTGAACACTTACTGCCATGTAACAGGTTCTGTTCTAAGTGCTTTATGTGTATTATCTCATTTAGATACTCTAATCTATGAAGGTAATTTTATCATCTGTATTTTACAGATAGATAAACTGGGATTAAGTAACTTGCTCACAGTTGTACAGCTAGTAAAGAAAGTAGGATTCTAATCCATGCTCTTTTGCAGAACCAGGGATTGAACTCAGGCCCTTGTGCTTGCCAGGGAAGTGCTTATTCCACTGAGCCATCTCCCCAGTAATATCATCCATGCTCTTTGGCTTCAGACTGTCATCACTGTTTTCTCTCCTTAGCTGTGATTTAAAAATTAATGATTCATTTCTGCATACTATGAGGCTGAGGCAGGAAATTGGCAAGTATAAGCCTAGCCTGGACAACTTATCCATTCAAAGAGACTGTCTCAAAATGAAGGAAAAGAAAGAAAGAAAGAACGAGCGAGCAAGTGAGCAAGCTTGAGATACAGCTCAGTGTGAGGGCCCTATGCTTATAGTCCCTAGTACTTTATTTATTTATTTTTTAAATTTTATTTATTTATTTATTTATATGTGTGTGTGTGTGTGTGTGTGTGTGTGGCCAGCTCAGCCCACCAGGGGGCTGGCTGGCTGGCATGTGGTCCTGGGGGATTGAACCACGGTCCCTGTGCTTTGCTAAGCTTGTTCTAAGTAGGTGCTTTAGACCACAGAGCCATCTCACCAGCCCCGTCCCTAGTACTTTAAAAAAACAAATAAATTAACTTCAAAGTCTTGCTTACATAACAAGTATTGAAATGTAACTA